GAGAGAGTGTGTGTGTGTGTGTGTGTGTGTTTGTGTGTGTGTGTGTGTGTGAGAGTGTGTGTGAGTGTGTGAGTGTGAGTGTGAGAGAGAGTCAGTGGTTTTCTTTAACTCTGGTTCTCAGACGTGTGTATGGTGTTTGAAGTTCTTGGTCATCATTTGCTCAAGTGGATCATCAAGTCTAATTATCAGGGTTTGCCGTTACCCTGCGTCAAGAGCATCATTACACAGGTAATTACGCACATCACGCACACTTCCCGAATCCGTAAACACAGGTGTCTAGCATCCAGACAGCATCAGCACGTATTCAATGTTTCATAATCAGCTGCCTGGAGATGCTTTGAGCCAATGAGATTTCACTGTGGGTGGAGCTACAAGAAACAGAACAGAAGTGACTGACAGAATGTCCTGTTAGCCGCGTCCCGCTTCAGAGACTGCGTCCTGCGAAGGTCACAGAGGTCGATCTGCGCGTCCTTAAATGAGACGGTCTTGTCTACGGAGGATTGCTCTTGTCGCCTAGCAACTGTGAGAGCTGCGGTTAACAAGCAGCAGGAACGTTTGTACTGGACTGTTTTAAAAAAAAGAAGGAAGCATTACAAGGCCATATTTGAAGCGGCTGTGAGCCTCTGAATTGGGACGCAGTGACAGTCAGACAGTAACTACGCAAAATCCTGGTGACGCCTCTGTCCACGCGCAGTACTCCAGCAACAGCAAAAGATGAAGAGTTCAACCAATCAGAGCGTTCTTGTTTTTCTGTTTTGCATTTAAGTAATTTCCGTGTGTTTTATTTCTCTCCAAACCGGCTCTGTTTGTGTGTATCTGTGGGTCTGTGCGCTGAGATGAGGAAATGCCTCCCCGCTTAAAATGCAACACACGCCGAACATCTTCACTTGTGAATGAGAAGTGTTTCTAAACCTGTTTTCCAGCAAAAGAGAATTATAACATACTAAACAACATCAGTTGGATGTGACCCCGAGGTGGTTTTAAGAACACAGATAAACTATACATTGTCGCAGTCGAGTGTCTATTGTCTTAATGTTTCATAATTCAAAGTGTTGTGTCTTCTTTTATTCAGTTACAAGGATAGCTGGATGCCTTTGGGTTCTATTACTTTTGCAATGCAAATGTGGATATTCTGTGCGAGTGCGCCCTCTGGTGTCCAGTGTGAATGAAACAGACAGTGCATGTGTTTATAGCACTAAATAATGGCCAATCTGTAAAAATAATACTTCTCTCAAAAGAAATTTGAAGTAGACATATGATAATCCATGTTTTTCTACAGTGTACAGAAGTTTTTGGAGAATTAATTTACAGTGTACTGATGTACTGGAGTTTTTTTTTTTTAAATAGCATTTTAAATACGGTTCTCCTAACCACAGAATACAACGTTTGGCATTTTCAGTGTGAAATCATCGTATTATTTCTGTGATGAAGCAATGGTCCAGTGTGTTCTAGACTCAGCTGAGGAACGCATGTGTTTGTGGTTTGGCTGCAGGTTCTGCAGGGCCTCGATTACCTTCACAGTAAGTGTAAGATCATCCACACGGACATCAAACCGGAGAACATCCTCATGTGTGTGGACGAGGCTTTCGTGCGCAGGATGGCGGTGGAGGCCACCGAGTGGCAGAAAGCCGGAGCGCCGCCGCCGTCTGGATCCGCTGGTATTCAGTTGTTCTGAATCGTGAATGATGATGAATGTGCTTGGTGACATTCTGACCGTGTTTCTCTGTGTTTGTTCGCAGTCAGCACGGCTCCTCAACTCCAGCAGGTCAGTGAAGCCGTCATTCTCACACACACATGCAGCTGTTTTACTGAAGAAAGCGGACAAATGTCCACCGTCTTCAACACATCAAAAACTCTAGTTTGCTGTATAGTTGTACATTACATACAAGCAGGGGCGTCTGACGGGGTAATAGTGGAACTGAGTAACGGGCCCTTGGCGAGGGAGGGCCATAATGATAGACTGATTATTATTATTAATATGATTGATGAGGTGTTGTGTTGTGAGGGGCCCACCCCCTTGGTTGTGTGACCGGGGCCCAACATTTGGTGCTACATCCCTGGTGTCAAAGGAAACCCAGAGCATGTACGTTGTATTTCCCTTAATAAAACTAAAACTGCACCTGACCTTGACAGGCGGTGATCATTGCAGTTTTGTTGCCTGAAAAACATGACCTTTTGATAATAGCTTTTTTGTGTTCAGTGAGGAAAATGTCAGGAGTTTCAAGTGACACAAGAGTGGGTGGATGATGACAGATTTTTGATTTGAAAGTAAATGATCTGCGGAAGTGTGACTCGATTGGATTTGGCAAATTTAGACGTGAAGGGATGATTTAGCTTTTAGACAGACACATTTTTTACTTCTAAATTGTTCAACCCTTTAAAAAGATTTAATTGGAATTTGTCTCATTTTCATCCCATTAGCAATTTTATTTTTTATTTAAATTTTTATATTTATTTTCTTATTTTATTTTTACTGTTTATTTTTATTTTATTTATTTATTATTTTATTTTGTTTTTTATCTTTATTTTATTATTTTCTATTATTTTATTTTTTTCATTTTTATTTTGTTTTTTTATGTTATATTATTTATTTATTTATTTATTTTATATTGCATTTTATTTAGGATGTATTTATTTATTTAATTTCATTTCATTTCATTTCATTTCATTTCATTGTTGAGGGGTGGATGTTGCAATGAACTCCCAAAAATCATAATCATGACGTGCACACACAGACGCACATAATTTTTTTTTTTAATCTGGGAGGTGTAAAGTGGACTTCTTTCATATCGGTGGCCTGAGATATTCTGTGGACGTTAGCCAGTAAATTGAGATGGAATTTCCCCATTACAGTCAAGACTTGAATTTTCTCTCCCCAGGAGGAGATAGTGATCGGTTCGGTTCATGCGTGTGTGCAGCTTTTTCATTAAAGATGCTTTTGACTCGCAGACATATTCACACCGTGTTTTCAGGAGCAATCAACACAATGACATCAATGAATAGCATCTCAATACCTCGCTTTTCTTTTCAGTTCTTTCTTTCTTTTGTCCGATGTGCAGACTGAGTTTAGTGGAGCTCAGATTAGAGACAGACTCGTGTCGCTGCAGTGGAAAAACGAGTTTGACGGTTGCCAACCACCATTACAAATGAAACACTCTTACGAGGTCAGCAGAGAGTCAGTGCAAAAGATGAAACAGAAAGCGGTGTCACATGACCGCAAAAAAAGTTCTTGTCCAAGTCTTTCAATCATGGTAGATGATTTTGAAATAGACCCACCTTAAAACACTGTTGACAGCAGTCTGTCTCAGAATGCCTTTTAACAAGCTAAGGCGTGATTTTATTTTATTTTATTTTTCAGGAGAATGTAATCTAAACTAGTTTGTCAGTAGATTCTGTGGAATGACAAACTTTAATTTATTATTGCAAAATTCTATTTTATAATATAATACCAGACAAATGTTTGGATACACTTTAGTGAATGATCTAAAAGACGTTGTGATGTAAAGGCCTCCGCTTTGAAATTAGTTTTGCAGGCAAATATTGCTATAAATATTAGCCTATATGTAAAACGTTGTGCCTATATGAATTTCTTTACAATAGGCCTATTACAATTTATTTATATAACTATTTCTATACAAATATATATTATATAAATACAACAATTTCTTAATAATACAACATATACAAAAATATAAAATATTAAAATATCAACTATATATATATATATATATATACTCCAACTTATATCTAACTTATATATATATAACTAAAAAATATTAAACTTATTTTGTCAATAACAAATTGAAATGTAAAAATAAAAAAATGTAAACTATAGACATATTTCAATAAAATAATAATAATAAAAAATTGCAAAAACAAGAAAAAGAACTAATTTAAAATATGAAACACATAGCAGTATCTATAGTATACTTAGTATAATTAGCATACATAGTATAATTACTTAAAACAACACCTTTCTTCGTTATATATATATATATATATATATATATACTGTATAATAAAAACTATAATTTATATACATTTGCATAATATATTACAAACTGTTGCTAATGCAGAAAGATGAAATCATTCTTCTTTTTATTTTTACATCTTTAAAGGGGTGGTTGATTTCGATTTAACTTTTTTTAAAGTTAGTGTGTCATGTTGCTGTTTGAGCATAAATAATATCTGTTTATTTACCGTGCTGAAAGTTAAATGCAAACGGAGATCTCTTTTAAAATTCTGGCAGTTTAGTGCCTGCAAAAATGACTTGTAGGGACTGCAACGAGTTACTTCCCGGGTTCATGATGTAACAAACCCAGATAAACCCCGCCCCCGGGAACATGCAACGAAGAGGACAAGGCCATGTTGTGCTGCTTTAGAGAAGAGGAAGAGAAAACTAGGGGGGGCACGTTAAAATCTATTCCTATATGAATCGCAATTCTGTCTTCTAATGATTCTAAAAGATTCACAAGTTTCCAAATCAATGTTCTAAAGCAGCAGTTCTCAATACTGTTCCTCTCGTCACCCTGCTCTGCATCTCTTGCTCTCTCTCTCTCATTCAGATCATCAGCTCAGCTCCAACAATGAACTGTTCCATTCATACACTTATTTTCACATAGTATGAGAAGCGTTATACAGACGCGCGTGCGGTTGCCGTACTGTATTAAAGCTTTAATCAGGATAAAACCGTATATTAAAAGCTAACAGAAGCAGTAGCATTTACAAATAACAGCAAAAAAGTATGAGAAAAAACAAATAAAAACACCATTGAGAGCTGTGCTTGCACAGGTTCTGCACGATCCTCTTCACTAATATTCTCTGGGTCTCAATGGGGCTCAAATTAATAAGCAATATAGACAACGGCAATTGTTTACAATACAACCGGAGCACATGCCGCCGAGCTGAGGGGCGTGGCGTTTAGAGGCGCACTAAAGGCGGTTTAGCCAATCACAACACACTGGACCAGCTAACCAATCTGAGCCCATTGAGTATTTCCGAGGGGAGGGGCTTCATAAAAGCAGGAAATGATCAGCATAGGAGAAGGGACAGAGTGGTGTGGAATAAAGATAAATTATGTGAAAAATAATGCGTTTTTTAAAAATGAAGCATTAACCCATGTTAGACTGCACCCCATAAACACAATCAAGCCTAGAAAAAAAAATCAACCACCCCTTTAAATCATGATGCTGACTGCATAACAAAGCTCATTTTGGAGAAACGCTGGCATAGTGCTGCAGTGTTTCGCATCTGTTTCTTGCATTGCTCACAGATGAGGAAGCTGTTAACATTGGGAGCATTGCATTATGGGATACAGTGAAGTCATATAGGGTGGGCTGCTGTTCAGAGGGGAGGAATCTTGTACTTTGGTTAATTAAGGGCACAAAACATGCAGCCTGATTGGATCAGAACATTAAACAAGCCTCAAATTTGCAGCATTTTCTAAACCATTTAGTGACATACTCTTTTTGTGTAAAAAAGAGGAAATTCCAGTTTATATCATGCAAATATTTTAGGCATCATCATGCTGCTTTTGCAAGCAGCCTGGCCTCGAACACAAACCACAACTAAAACAAATTCAGCCTGGACTCTTTCTACTGAAGCTCAGTGTGACCTCATAAAACCCTGGACAATAATTCATATTTTTTAGTACGGCAAGCTTCTTAAAGGTCAGTCAGTCCAGTCTTCTTTCAAAGCCATTCCTCCATACACCACCCAAACAAACACTAGAAGTGCTAAGCCCGTACTGGATCAGAACCGCAGGTGTCCGCAGCGACCCATGTTTGTAAGAGCAAACAGAGACTGTTTACCAAGACAGGCTAAACGACAGAAATAGATGGGCAACACACACACACACACACACACACACACACACACACACACACACACACACACACACACACACACACACACACACGTACGTAAGTGCTCGACAAACAGAGTAACCCTAAACTACTGAGCATCCATTAGCTCATTTCCCATGAAGCTGCACATCAGGATGTGTTTGATGAATGAATGGGGAAGTAACACAGTAGTAAGAGTCATTTTGTGATTCTTTATTTCAATGCATTTGGCGTCACATGTTGGGAACATGCAGACTCATTTTACCGCACTGGTTCTTTTGAATTCAGTGACCTGTAAAAGAAAAGATTCAGCGATTCGTTTGTATTTAAATTGTGTTTTTGGTTTTTGTTAAGAGTGTTCAGCTCACATTATAATCTCATTGTACAGTCTAAATGCAACATAAATCATTTTGGATAAAAGTGTCTGCCAAATGCATATCTTAATAAAAGCAAACACTTTGATGATTTTGGGTTAGATACAGTTTGTTACAAATTAACTAATTCATTAAAGAAAACCAATTCAAAGAATGATTCATTTGCAAACCTGACAACTGATTTCATACATCCAAATCAAATGGTGTTTATATTGGACATCAAGTAACTGTGGCAAAATTGTTAGTCAACAAAAGTATAAATAATAAATAAATACATACATATATACAGTCTTTAAAGTATTTATATTATCATGAACTTTATAGACCCAGTAATTTAGTTTTATATATATATAATCTGGACATATATTGGACAACAGATGGCTGTGACAAAATTATTTGTCATGCAAAATTAAAAAACAAATGTTTTTAAAATGATAAAAAATATTTTAATTATCAAGAACCTTACAGGACCAATAATTTAGTTTTATTTATTTTGTATTTGTATATTTTTTATTATAAAAATGTATTGTATTTTGTGCATTAGACATCAAATGGCTGGGGCAAAATTTTTTGGCATGCAAAACTGAAAGAATAAATGTTTTTAAAATCAAACTTAAAAAAAACATTTCTCGTGAACTTTGGAGGCCCAGTTTTTAAAAAAATATATATTTTATTCTTAATAAAAATGAAAATGTCCATTTTATATATTGGACAACTGTGACAAACTTGTGTCATATAAAATAATAATTAAAAAAAACTTTCAAATCAAACATATAAAAAAAAACTATTGTCATGAACTTTATAGGCCTAATAATTTTGTTTTAAAATTGAGTTTTTTAAATAATAAACATGCAGCAATTTAAAATGTGAAGACTGTTTCAGCTCAAATTTCAGAATTTCATAAATGTAAATTATATCCTGACTGCAACGTTAGTCGCTTTGGATAGTCACTTTTGGGAAAAACATCTGCCAAATGCATAAACTGATTTCATACAACCAAACCATTGGATATCAAGACAGAATTGTTTCAATACAAAATTTTGAAGCAAAAGTCTTTCAAATTAAACACTTAAAAAGATTATCATGAACTTTTAGACCCAATAATACTAAATAATAAAAACATTTGATAAATAATTTTTTTTCTACTATAAAAATGTATTTTATTTTGCTTGCAAATGTCTACATTTTGAGTTTCAATGGCCGACAGTGCATGATAGAAAACACATTGTAGTCAGCACCAAACATGTTCATCCACATTGACAGTAAACCTGTATTTAACAGGACATGTTTTATTTTACTTGAAGAGTTTGTTCATGGTTTTTGAAGATGAGGGCTTGTCACGCAACAACCTGTCCGTGTTGAACTGGCGTCAAAGTACTGCAGAGTTTGATTGAACACTAAACCTTTGACGTCAGCACCAACAAAAGATGCTGGAAGTGTTTCCTCCTCCCTTTTAAAAATTGATAAGCCTATTTATTATTTTATGCAATGCAGAATTATATAGCAACTCATCAGTTGGTCTATGAGGTTCACACTTGAGGCCTTGTGTCATTGTTGAGGATTGACTAAGACTGTTTGAATTACTCTCGAACCAAAAGTGTGTGTATTTTGTCATTTGTTTGTGTTTTATGTATTTTATTTGAATAAATGTGTGTGGTGTTGAATGTGTGTGGTGCTTGTGAATGAGTGTGTGATAGGTAGTCATACACATAAGACAGCAGTAAGGCAGGAGACGTAAGGCTGTGGTTTCACGCTCTGACGGTATAGTGCATCTCCCGGCTCCTGCTGTCTGCGCTGCTCGGAGACATTCAAACCCTGTGGCCTGAGAGAGAGCCGTGTGCTGCTCTAATCGTGTTTGACTTGGACAAGATTAATGATGTTTTGAGGTGTGGAGGTTTTACACTATTTTAACAAAATGATTTAAGAGAATTTCAGAATTATAGAATTATAGAATTAATTATATTATTACCAATAATGTTTATATATCAACTAAAAAGGTTTTTTATTATTGAAAATTATAAAAATATATATATAAGTTTTTATATATTAATTATATATATTTTTGGCATAACTTTTTTTCATATTTTTTTTTATCTCAAAACCCTAAAACAAAGTTTATTTGCATCTCTAAATGAAAACATTCCAGATTTTTTCGATCAAAAAGCTTTATTGCAACCTTGACTGTGGGGCCGTATACAGAAACAGTCCAGAATATTCCAAGCAGTTTCTAAAACATATTGGAACTCAATATAACTTATCTGGCATTTTTGCTCATTTGTCACATGATTGTAAAACCCTTTGGTTCATTGAGCTGAGCCATTACTGAGAGCTCCTTAAAGGCTCCACTCATTCAGATAGAGATGTTTGCAACTGGACCATGTTACATCTCACATTACCTGCCGGACATGCCTGAGCTAACACAAGAGGTAAGCTTTGAATAAGTAAGAAAGAAGAAGCTCTAGACGGGACAGATAAGGACCAATAGTTCACTCAGATGAGAACATATATGCACATTCTGCTAAACAAGAGCAGGATGGTACAAAAAAAGTTTGCCCAGAGTTGTAATGACCAACTTTTTCCCAGGATAGTTGTTTTCAGGGTGTGCCTGGTTTGATTTGATATCTCTGTGTAAATATCTACATAGGCCTATGCTTAGATCTACAAATAGGTGTGTTTAAATCTACAATAAAACATATGGATGGTTTCTGATTCTTTCGTATTTGAGTCTGTGTTTGTTGGTTTGATTAAAAAATTAGCTTTATAGACTAAAAATAATTGTGGAAGCATTAGGTTAATATAAGGTGATTCTACATCTCACCTGGCCAAGACTTCCCTTTAACAAATGTTCAAATATGCTTTTAATTATGAATCCAGGCAATTAAAGGGAGAGTTCACCCAAAACATTTTAATTCTGTCATCATTTACTCACCCTCATATAGTTCCAAACCCGTATGAGTTTCTGCCTTCTGCTGAACATAAAGGAAGTTATTTTGAAAAATATGGGTAACTAAACAGTTGCTGGTCCCCGTTGAATTCCATAGTGTGGAAAAAAATACTTTGAAAGTCAATGGTGACCAATCAGATGGGTTACTCACATTCTTGAAAATATCGTTTTGTGTGTGTGTTTAGAAAGACGGTAGCCTATATATATTTGGAACAACTTGAACTAAAGGCCATTCACACCAAGGGCGATACTAATGATACTATGTAGGCCTAGCTTTAATAATCGTTCTAAATCAATGAGAACAGCGAAGTCACACCTCTTTTAACATCCATCGAACCTTTTTTAATGCACAAAACGTTCTTTACAGTGGAAAAGGGTTCTTAAGATGTTACTAAAAAAATGGTTCTGAAAGATTCTTTGTGGAACCAAGAATGGTTCTTCTGAGAAAACACCCACGGAACTTTTACTTTTAAGAACGTTTGTTTATATTGTGATCAAAATTGGAAATTAAACATGTCCGCGTAAATTATGCACATGCTAAAATAAATGAACCGATAGGCCTAAATTAAAAGTTCACCTGGGTGTACTTAATGTCGCTTTCTACTGGAGGTTTGTCGATGCCGTTGACTCCGTGAACGGAAGGAAATGAATGTCTGTTAACGCCCGTCCAGTCCTCCATTTTCGGCTGGTAACTCTCTGTTCCGGCAATAGCTGTAAAAATGTATAAAAATAAAACCCGTTTAAATAGTTGCAGCTGCTGCACGTTAGCAAAAACAACAACAAATAAAATAATAATTGATTATGATTTCAAGATGCAGTCTAACCTTGGAGTAAATCCTAAAGAACTGAACTTCAAATTGGCTCAGTCTGAAAATGATACGGGCTTCTTATGCAAACAACACTGGCCACATTTAGAAATAGAAACACGACAAATGCATTATCAGACTATTGTGAGAGCGATTGTGTTTTTAGTTTATTAAACCAAATTAATTTCAAATGGGCCTCACATTCTGCTCAGCAGAAATCTCACAGTGATGCCTGATGCCATAAGAAAACATTTTCTTTTTATTCTCTGCAATCATGCTTTAAACACTGATCCGAAGAACCAACATCAATCATTTTTTTAATCTCCAAAAAGGAACACATCAAGAGTGCAGAAGCAACGCAACACTAATATTTCAGATACATAAAAGATTCCCCAAAGACCTCACCCATTCTCAATTTCTATGCAAACTCGCTGTCATACAATATTTCGCCAATATTGGAACTTTTGCTTTGGATGACAAACTGGCAAGACATTAAAAATACAATAGCTGATAAATTAATGCTTTTTAATATTCCCCTTAATCGCATAAACCCAGCACTGCACTCTTAAAAATAAAGTTCCCAAAAGGGGGGTTTCACAGCGATGTCAAATAAGAAGAACCAGTTTTGGCTCCCCAAAGAACCTTTCAATGAACGGTTCTTAAAAGAACCATTTTTTTCATTCGTTTTGTGGAATGAAAAGGTTCCATGGATGGTAAAGGTTCTTTGTGGAACCATTGATGCCAACAAAGAAGCTTTATTTTTAAGAGTGTAAGCGGCTACACCAGGATCTTGAAGGCCTATCGATAATACAGAAGGTGTGATTACCTGCGGGGTCCATGAAAGCCCGTATTCCTAATATGTTGCTGACGGTGTGAACGGAGGGCCAGGCCCGGGACAGGCTGACAGACACAGCCGGAGGACTGCCCAGTTTGGAGCCGGTCGGGGACATGGCGTTCGGGTATGAATACGGATACACGGGATTATAGGAGATCTGCGGCGGAGAGGGTTTGCTGTCGTACTGACTCGGCTGAGACAGGTTCCCAATCTTGTTTCTCAAAATGCGACTGATGGAGCTCACAGAGGGAACGTTATATTTGTCACACACTGCGTCGGCCAGCAGTCTGTCGCGTATTTCCCAAGCGAATATTCCAGGATCGCCCTGTTTGTAATCCCGTATGCTCTTCACCACGTTTGGCGTCGTGACCCGGGGTTTACTCCCACCGATAGCACCGGGTAAAATGGAGCCGGTGTCGTTGTACCTGGCCAGAATTTTGCTCACACAGCCATGAGAGACCCGGAGCTGTCGGCTTATGTCGCAAGGCCTGATTCCGAGCTGCGCCAGTTCGACGATCCGGATCCGGATCGCGTTAGGAAGAGGCCGGCCGTTTACAAACACCCCGCCGAGCTGATTGACCTCCCCGTACGTCTGATCTGCAAGAACCAAAAACGGTATATTCAACATATTCTAACTAATACAGTGCACACTCTTAAAAATAAAGGTCCCAAAAGGGTGTGTTTGCAATGATGCCATAGAAGAACCATTTTGGTTCCCCAAGAACCTTTCAGTGAACAGTTCCTAAAAGAAACATTTTGAAGAACATTTAAAAAATGTAAAGAACCTTTTCTGTATTTGAAAGGTTGCATGGATTTTTAAGGTTCCTCATAGAACCATTGTTTACCACCTTTATTTTTAAGAGTGTAGTTATAGCCTACCATCATTTTAGTAGCAGTTTTCTTGCACCATTGCGGCTGTTATGTAAATTAAATTATCGCTCAAAATAATAAAAAACACAAAAAACGAAAGTTCCATGATTGAACAAAGAATCTTATAAATATCTGTATTATTATGAACAATTTTACTGAATGGTTTCTTTGAAATTCAAGGGGTTTTCTGGCGGTTCTTCATTAAAAATATATCAATTGGAAAATGGGGAACAAAAATAGGGACTAGCTAATGCAAGATTCAGACAAAAATTGTAGATCTTAAAAACATCAGTATTTATTTTTTAAGAGTAAAAGCGCATGGTTGTAAAGTAATCGACTTTAATCTGATGTAGCCTATATTTAGATGCCTAAAAAGTTCATAGACTATGATTTGTGCCATATTAGCATCCAAAGACACATAATATTTACACAAAATACATAATTTGAACGGTGTAGGTGCATCGTACTCTCTTAAAAATAAACCAAAAAGGGGGTTCTCGCAACGATACCAAAGAAGCATTATTGTTTCCCCAAATAACTTTTAAGTGAACAGTTCTTAAAAGAACCATTTCCCCTTAGTGTGAAGAACATTTTTAAAAGTCTAAAGAACCCTTTCCCCCCCCACTATTAAGAACCTTTTGTGGAACGTAAAGATTCCATAGATGTTAAAGATTCTTTATGGAACCATCGAGTGTATTATTATTATTATTATTATTATTATTTATTTTTAAAATAACTTCCTATTTTTATTATCATTTTATTTTTTATTCCTGTCTGAGAGGCGTCACTCTGACTATAGCTATAACAGATCAAGAGGAACTTACCCATTTGCATCGTGATATTTCCCTACAGTGGTTGTGCTCCTTTAACCTTTAACTGTGCTGCTGTAAGTCTCGTGCAGCGCTGGAGGGGTCTCCCCGTGTCTCCCGTTAAGGACTGCCCTCTCCTTCTTTTTTTACGGCTGAAGTGTCTGAGTTTAGGACTGAGCAGCGTTTTACAGTAATCTTTGATCCACTTCAGAAAGTCCGTCCGTCCAGCAGACTGGCTCGTGCGCTCAATTTGACGCGTCACAAGCATCAATCAAACTAGACAGCTCGTGACTCCTCCCCGATCCTCTGGAGCTCAGGATCTGCCCCATCACGGATATGCGGCATCAAAATGTACTTTCCTGCCATTTTAGGGGTGCCTTCATACGAAAACTTTTCTGAAAGTATGCTATGTTAATATACTCAAATTAATTGAAATGCAAGTGGGAATTGATCTCTAATAAGCCTGTATAATGCATGATCTTTTATATTTTACTGTTGTCTACACTTTACTTAACTGGAGCCTAATGTAAATAAAGCGATGTGTTAAAAAATGCAGACAACGCGATGTCAATGTGAAACTGCAATTTGTAACAGTATAATATTGTAAAAGTACACAGTGTTATTATATAAAATATAATATATTATAAATTGCATAAAATATCATCTAGAATAATTCTATAAAACAAAATGATATTCTATGTGGATAAACATTTACATTTTTAAATTAAAACTTCTATTTAAAATTTACACGGAATAAATTCGATTTTATATTTCATTAAAATGTAATTAAATAAAATATAATCATGCTTCCAAGTTGAATTATATTTCCCTTTTACAAGCAGGCGCACTAAAAGGTTTGTAGACCCACTAAAATTAGAAAATGTTTAAACGTTTTAGTTGCTTAAGCATTTTAAAAGTGATTTTAAAAGTGAGTGCTTTGAACATATACGAAAGTTAGAAACTCTGAAAAACAAATAGCTAAACAATAAAACTAAATGCACATTACAAATATTGTTATTAATGTAATGGATGGAAACGAAGATGTTATAAATGTTATTTACACTAAAAGTGACTATACATGAACTGTCACAAACGCAGTGGGAATTTTGGCTCAAATTCGAGAAAAAAGTATGACAGCACCGTCATCTTTTGGTGAATTTAGGAATTACAAGGCTCCAAAACACCATGTAGCCTACTACGTATATACTTAATTACACGTAGTTCTATTGGGTGTTTTTGTTTGCCTTTCGCACAAAATAATAAACTAATTGGCATCCTACTGTAAATTATATTTTATTGATTAGAAATGTAAAAGTTGAACCACTTCAGGAACAAAACATGCTCTATATAAAGGCCAATTTAAATATCTAGGTCAGAGGGATTTATTTATTTAATTTATTTGATTTATTGATTTTGATTAATTGATCAACAAGGAAACACAACAACTTAAGGAAATGTACAAAAAAGTTTGTTATCCAGTAGGTGGTGTGTTAATAAAACTTGATTTGTCATGACAGCACATTATTTGTAATTATTTTATCATTATTATACTATACTAAACTATAACTTTTTTTTTTTTTACTTTATTTTACCTAGGCCTATACATATTTATTCTTCAACCCCTTTTTTCCTTTCAATTTCAATTTGTATAGGTCAGGGGGAGCCAGCCCACGCCCAGGTTTTGTTTCCTCCTTTTTGTTGAAATAAAAAGAAAAAAGGAATAAGGAAACGTACAAACAGGTTTTCTGAAGTCTTTGTGTTATTATCACCCTTACCCTACTGGCCCTAACTATTTGTTTTCTTCATTATTATTATTTTTAGGCCTAGTTTTTTTTACACTATACTGTATGCCCGCTTTGCAACGTTTTAATACAGATACTTTAGGAATATTAATGTAACTACAAATGTTGATACCTTTTTCAGAAGCATATCAGAGTTTTCATATCAGGTTTTTAGAGGCCTTTTTTAGAGGCCTTTATTTAACCCGTTAGTCGGTTGTACATACCAGACTGCACCGAAAGAGGGAGAAAAAATATTGCATTCCATAAAACAGACAAAAAAACCTTCTTGGAATGTAACTGTACGCTACTGTAAGAAACCCTAAATGTGGTCAATTCTTCAGACCAGTAGGTGGTGGTTTAATAAAACTTGATTTGTCATGACAGCACATTATTTGTAATTATTTTATCATTATTATACTATACTAAACTATAACTTTTTTTTTTTTTTACTTTATTTTACCTAGGCCTATACATATTTATTCTTCAACCCCTTTTTTCCTTTCAATTTCAATTTGTATAGGTCAGGGGGAGCCAGCCCACGCCCAGGTTTTGTTTCCTCCTTTTTGTTGAAATAAAAAGAAAAAAGGAATAAGGAAACGTACAAACAGGTTTTCTGAAGTCTTTGTGTTATTATCACCCTTACCCTACTGGCCCTAACTATTTGTTTTCTTCATTATTATTATTTTTAGGCCTAGTTTTTTTTACACTATACTGTATGCCCGCTTTGCAACGTTTTAATACAGATACTTTAGGAATATTAATGTAACTACAAATGTTGATACCTTTTTCAGAAGCATATCAGAGTTTTCATATCAGGTTTTTAGAGGCCTTTTTTAGAGGCCTTTATTTAACCCGTTAGTCGGTTGTACATACCAGACTGCACCGAAAGAGGGAGAAAAAATATTGCATTCCATAAAACAGACAAAAAAACCTTCTTGGAATGTAACTGTACGCTACTGTAAGAAACCCTAAATGTGGTCAATTCTTCAGAAACCATGCACTAACATATTCTGATCACTTAAACGACAAAAACTAGAAATTACATTTCGAAACGCAAAGAGGACTAGAATTATGATGGGTTAGAAAAATTCAAGTCACATGTACTTCACTTGCATGCAGTTGACTAACACAGATATTATCACTGCATTGTTTAATAGTGTCTTGATGCTAGCAAAGCAGAACAGATAACTATCTAGACAATTTTATCAGAACATAACCAGCAGCACATAAAATAATTAAAATAGCATAACATAATGAAAATACAAAATACAAATAGAAAAAAGTACATAGGCCTACTGCATATAGTTTAAACATACAATCTAAAATGATTTTACATTTACAGTCTGAGATCATAGAAGAACAGTTTATGTTCTTCTAGTTCTTTAGAAAACTGTGTAACCAACAGTGAATTCCCAATCCCACTGAAGCAGTCCTAGAGAAGTTCTGCTATCATTATATTCAGTCACTAGATAGCGCTCTTACCCAAGATAACGTTACATGAAACGCGCATGCACACGAATGCACACGTTTTTTTTTTACCCCATGTTATGTTCCTGTCATTTTGACCCGCAATGGATTTTATTTTTCCAGAAAATGCTAGCCAATATTATCCCATTAAAACACCAAAGGTATTTGGCCCCTTTTTGGCATTTTACATTTGTGGTGTTCCCGTGCCTACAAAAACTGCTTATATATTTCCTGTTATGCTGTCTGCTAAATATTACATGCAATCTTTTTGTCAACTTGTTTTCTTTCAATTAGTAGGCTATAGGTTTGTTTTTTGTTTTTGAACTGATGTGTCTCAGTGATCTGAGCGTATGCACCTCAGTTTCTGAGTGAACGTTGCCAAAATGATCCACAAATAATGCTTTTTCACTCTTAAACTGAGGTGCATAAGCTCAATTATACCTACGATCAATCAGTTCAAATAAATATAAAACCAGTGCGCATTCAAAGAAAGGTTTATAAAAATATTGCATCCAGCTATTTCAGCTGTTTAAAGGGATAGTTCACTCAAAAATGAAAATTCTGTCATCATTTACTCACCCTCATGTCGTTCCAAACCTGTATGAGTTGCTTTCTTATGTTGAACACAAAAGAAGATATTTTGAAGATTGCTGGTAATCAAACAGTTGGTGGTTGCCATTGACTTCCATAGTAGGAAAAAAAAAATACAAATGCAAAGAAAGCAACTCATACAGGTTTGGAACGACATGAGGGTGA